CCTCCTGAGTGTTTATCCTCCTTCACTGGCAACTACTACTTGTTTATCATTCTAGAATCACAGATGTTCAGCTTAGTTTTTCTCTTTTAAGATCTCTAAAATAGATCAGGACAATTCGTTAGTTAAATTAACCCCAAAGCTTGGTGGTCCCTAGGCCAAAAACTCATTCTCAATTCTTGTTCTATCTCTAATGAAGAACATTCCAATATAGCCGACCAGAAGTTAATCGATCAAATAAACTATCAATAGAGTAATACTCGAAATTTCAAAGCACAGTATCAAATTGCCAGGGATAGATTAAAACCCAAAGTTTAAATAACCCTACCCACGTAGGTTAAAATTTAAAGATATTAACATCAAAATGTCTTTAGTTGAACTCCACAGATTGTTCCCCCAATTTCTAATTCTGCTCAGTCTCAACTAGAGGGGTCTTCCTCCAAAGCCTCAGCAGTCAGTGTTCCTTCAGCAGTTACAGCCTGGGCAAACCTCCGCTGAAATCAGATCTAAAATCAAATTAGTTCAACACCACGTGTGTTCCATTTTTTAAGCCTGAAGAGTTAACAGAATAGGCAAGATTATCCCAGCTCTCCTCCCACATCCATTCCATTTAAAAAACAAGCCATTCTGAGGCCCCGAGAGGAGTTAAATCAAGGACTTGGAACATTGACACCAGAGAAATAATGTTCGAAATACTAGTGCTGAATCTTTTACACCCATGTCACAGTTCTCAAAGGTCAGAGCAGAGAATTGTGGTATCCAAGAAGAGGAAGGCAGCCTCATCAGAATGGCCATCAAATAGAGCACCCCGAGACTCAATAGCTTAAGACAAAAAGTTTATTTAGTTCATGAACCTGAGAGGCAGTGATTTAGGCTGAGTTTGGCTAAGTTCTAGCATGTCTGGTGTGGCAAACTCAGAATCACATGGCAGAAAAAAGGCTCCACCTCTTCCTAGAATGAACTGTAAAGCCACCATGCAAAGCGCATGGTTACCAGGAGGGGTAGAAAACTGGGGCCATTAACACGATCACAGTATTTTACTCTCTCACCCTAAGATGATCACACAATTGGAACTAGGAACATTTCAGTGCGCAGTAAGCACGTGTGGCTAGTGGCCGGTGGCCACCATATTGGACAGCACAGTTCTAGGGTCATCGGCCTCCTTGCAATTCCTCAGACCTGCCAGCCATTCTCCTGCCTTGGAGCCTTTGCACTTGTCCTTCCTGTGACTGGAACACTCTTCTAGTTGTCCACAGGGATCACTCCTCCACTCCCTTGGTTTAAATGTCACCTTTTCAACAATGACCTCTCTGTCTACTCTATTTAAAATTGCAGCCCCCATCCCTGAGCACTTTCTATCTATCTTCCCTGCTATATTTTTTAAAAATCATATTTATTGCTATCTGGTCTATTTTATATTTTAATTATTTACTTGTTTTTATCTGTTTTTTCTTCTTCTTCTTCTTCTCGCTATCATGTAAGCTCCAGATGGACCGGTATTTTTTGCCTATGTAGTTCACAGCTGTATCCCCAGTGCCTAGAGCAATGTTTAGCACTTAGTAGGCACTCAACAAATATTTGTCGAATAAACACTATCCTTTCTGTGTCTTTTTGCAAATGCTAAAGAAAGTAATGAGTCAGACTCTGGTACAATAAATTATGATGGTATCAGGCTTATGGAGGGGAATCCCAAGAATGCCAAAGAACAGGTTTACCCACATGAAAAGTCATATTTCCAAACCCTTTTTAACATGAGAGATTAGAAGCAGGACTTGAAACCCTAATTAAGAGTCGATCGAAAGAAAGATATTATCCGGAGAAGCCCAATCTAGGACCAAATTTACTCATTATTGTCTTTGTCTTAGGGCTAAAAGATAATATTTAAAGGTGATTTGTCCTCTACATCTGTCTTTTCCACTCAGCAAAAATATTAATGGTAGTTATCTGGTTTATCTTACATACATTTTTCTCTAAGTTCTACCTTACATTTTCATTTCATTGTCTTTCAAATACTTGGGTTTCTAATACTAAAAGCGACAACACTCTTCATTTCTACTTGTCTCATTGGTCAATAATTCTCCCATTGTTTTTATTGTCTTACTGGCAACTTGGTGTCCATTTAGAGTGGTGAGTCACCCTAAATCATCTCAGGCAACCTTTGGGCATCCATTTGCTGTATGTCTCCAAGTAAACAGATATGTGAGTCAATAAGCATAGCTTAGAATTATGCCAGTTTAACTTCCAGTTATTCATCAATTATTTATTGAGCACCTAATATGTGCTAGATATTCTGTTATATCATATAGCATTAAATAAGATAGACATAGGTCTTTTTCCCCAAACTTAAAATCTATTTGGTAAGACAGAAAATTAAACATTTAATTCCAATAAAGATAAGAACAATGAGAGCATACAGTGGATGAGAGCATAATCTAGTGTGGGGAATGGGTTAGGATGCTTTTTGGTGATCCTGGCATCATTTTTTTAAAAATTAATTTTTGAGATATTTTTACATATAATAAAACTCACCAATTTTAAGTGTACCATGTGATGAATTTTGACAAATGTATAGTCATTTAACCACTATCACAATTGATATAATTTCTATCACCCCTAAAAGTTCCCTCATGCCCCTTCACAGGCAATCTCATCCCTCTCAATCACCCCCAACTCTTGACACTCACTAATCTGCTTTCTATTACTATAGTTTTGCCTTTTCTAGAATTTCATACAAAAGTTCCTATAATATGTAGTCTTTTGTGTATGGTTTCTTTCACTTAGCTTAATGTTTTTGAGATTCGTCCATGTATCAACAGCTTGTTCCTTTTTATTGCTGAATAGTATTCCAATATGTAGACACACCGTAATTTGTTTATTCATTCATCAGTTAATGGACATTGGGTTGTTTCCATTTGTGGTTATTACAAAGAAAGCTTTTAATTCACATTTGTTTATAAGACTTTGTCTAGACATATGTTTTTATTTCTTCTTGGATAAATACCTAGGAGTAGCATTACTGAATCATATGGTATAGAAATTGCTAAGTTGTTTTCTAACACAGCTGCAGCATTTTGCATTTCCACTAGCAAAGGGTGAGGGTTCCAGTTGCTTCATATCTGCACCACTTGTGATAGTTGGTCTTTTTGATTTTGGCCACTCTAATAGGTATGCAACGTTACTTCCTTGTGTTTTGATTTGCATTTCCCTAATAACTAATGATTTTGCTCATCTTTTTGTGTACTTAATTGCCATCCATATTATTTTACTTGGTGAAGTAGGTGTTCAAAAATTTCGCCTATTTTAAAAAATTGAGTTGTTTGCATTATTACTGAGTTTAAAGGGTTCTTTGTATATTCCAGACAAAAGTCTTATGTTAGATATTTGTTTTGCAGGTATTTTCTCCCTGTCTCTGGCTTGACTTTTTATTTCGTTGACAGTGTCTTTCCAAGACCAAAAGTTTTAATTTTAATGAAGTTCAATTCGTTAATTTTTTTAGTGGTTCTTCATTTTCAGTTACAAAGGTTTTCTTCTATTTTTCTTAAGTATTAAAGTTTTAACTCTTACATGTATCTCATCGGATTTTTACATACATCTCTGATATTAATAAAATTGTTCAAAAAGAATAAGCATGGAAAACCAGAGGGAAATCACCCAGCCTTTTATAAGTCACACCATCATTCCTTTGGCCCCAGGCTTGCAGTGGCATTTTAGGGAATATTGTCTATCACTTACTTGTGACATGATGACTTTCTTGATTTAGATTTCTATTTGTTGTCAACGAGAAAGCAAAACCAATGTGACCTGCCAATGTTCAGTGATTAAGTCCCTCATGTGGAATGTGCTTTCTCCTTATGATAAGTAAAGGAAAGGAAACATTATGTCAGTTGACATCACTCTCGGCTCTAGTACAAAACGTTGTGTGTCTCTGCCTTTTCGCATGAGAGAATTTTCAAAACTCACTATCCCCACTAGACTGCGAGCTGTTGAAGATCAAGACGTGCGTCTTATCTTGTATTCCTATGTTTTAGATGTAATTCGGTAAATGTTTTCTGAATAAAAGGAGTTGTTCCTGGGTCTCTGCTGTTTTGCTGGTATGTGGAAGCTACCAGACAGTGTGTTGTAGTTTCTATGTCCAGTCCTCATAAACTTGGGACCCTTTTCCTTTCAAGCCATTTCAGTATTCCTAGGGCTTAGCACAGCGCCTGGTATGCGTTAGGCAAAAACAAGGGGAAAAAAAATTTGTACAAAAATCCCACCACCACAATTTATGACTTGAAGCAGGGAAAATGGGCAACCTTCAGGTGTAACATATGGTGAGAAATATTGGGGATACAATCTCAATTCCTCCCGGGAAACAGTGCCATATCTGGTCTAAGTCTCTTCTTTGGAAACTTGTGGGCTTGCGTGGACCCAGCGTCCCTAGCAGGCGAACGCCGGGAAGACTGAAACCCTGAGCCCGGGGTTATTTAAGGGACGCAGAACCTATGCCCAGCGTGCACGACAGTCCTGGTTGCTTAGCAACTAGATCGATTGCTCGGCGCTCCACTCGATCCGGTCAGGCTGAGACGCGGTGCGCCCCGCTCAGACCCGGGTCCCCGTGGTGCGCACGCGCAGAAGGGGGTCGGCTGGGGGAGGGGCGAGCCGGAGCGCGGACGCAGTTTGCGGGCCGCGGCGGGGAGGGGCGCACGC